GACTGCATATGGGTACAGCCACTATGGAAAACATTATGGAGGTTCCTCAAAAAACTAGGAATTGATCTACCATATGATCTAGCAATCCTTCTACCGAGTATTTACCCCAAAGACTTGAAAACCCATATCCGAAAAGATATTTGCAACATGGATGGACCTCGAGATAATCATGCTAAGTGAAATAAGCCAGACAGAAAAAGTTGAAAATCATATGGTATCACTTATATTTGGTATATAAACCTAAAAGCAACAAATGAACAAGACAAACAAATAGAGACTCATGGACATGGACAATAGACTAGTGGTTACCAGAAGGGAGAGGGAAAGGGGGAGGGGGAAAATAAAAAAAAAATAAAATGCTAAAAAAAAATTATATATATATATAGTATGAAAAAAAAATAAATAAACTGGCATTAAAAAAAAAAAAAGACTCTATACATTATAGTTAAAACACAGGTTCCTCACAAACAAGAACCAGATGCTAAATGACTTTCTGTTGAGTCAGCAGTCACTAGACCAGAAGATCAAATACAATTGTGAACTGATTAACTGGTTGACTAACTGATGAAAATTTCAGCAGAGGAATAATATGTATATGTGGGTATTGTAGAGGTATGTCACAGAAGCCCTTAGCAGTAAAATCCTAACAGGCACACTTGGATTCTCCCTCCTCGTAAACACACTGGCCCTCACAGGAAGCTGTGATTTTTTCATATGGAATCCTTTTATATTCTGGAGGTGTCAATGCTGAGGAGAGGAGTGAGGACAAGAGTAAAAGAGGAGACTGTAAACCCAGACATGGGGAAAAGCACATCTGTGGCACCCCATTAAGAGACACAGACATCTGGCAGCAAGACACATTTAAGGGAATGGGCTGGATTGCACAGCATTTTCTTGTGCCGTCAGGACACTTTAGCACCTTGAGATCCTTTCCTCTATGCTGCCTGAGTGCCAACCAAATACAGTGGCCAGTGAGGCACTACACTTTTAGCAGATACTTTTCGGATGGATGGATGGAGGGATGGATGGATGGATGGATGGATGGATGGATGGATGGATAGATGGATGAACAAACAAAGAAACAAAAGAATAAAGTGTATACTTGTTTTCTCAATGCACTTTAAAATTATCCATTCAAAATTAATATTCTACTTGCAAAAAATTTTCAGCAAAGTTGTTCCCAGCTGATTTCTCCATACTGCACACAAATGTTGCCCAATTCTCTGGAGACATCAACAGCACACTATATAAAACCCAGGTAGTGGTAATCTTCCCAGGCTCTCTACCACACCAAGGCAATTAGAATACTTAATAGCCACTAGAACTCATTGACTTAAAAGCAAATTACCACAATTGGGTATCTGCAGGTTCGCCAAGGGGATATTCTTGCTGCTTTCATTTAGGCAGTACAAGTCCTGAGTTTCTGGACTGGATTTCGTCTCCTGAAGAGTCTTGATCCACATAATATCACAGGAGCATGTAAATGGATTGCCCACCAAGATCCTACATGAAACAAAAATGAAACCCAGTCAGGCTTCTCTTTTTCAGTTTTAACTATACCCATATTTATGAAGCACTACAAAATTATGAATTCTTTCTGGCCAGCAATCTTTGGAAGTCGTACCCACCTTTACAGCATAACAGTACTTATTAGTCATTCATTTAACACTAAGCTTCTGCAATATGCAAAAACCCTGTAGAGGCTAAAGGATGCAAAGTGATTTAAGACCTTTCAGAATAATAGGGAAACAAGATAGAGACAGAAATAGCTATAATGTAGGATAGAAAGGGATGTCTCATAAAAAGAGAGAAAAAAAAAGGTGCCATTACAAATTTATCACAGTTATTATACAGTTATTAAGAAGATCTTAAGTGAAAATGCCAACAATAAGTTTTCAGAAAAACTAGCATATGTATATCTGGCCAGGCTAGAGATTAAAGTGTTATCATTTAATAAGCTCAAACCTGTTGGGGGGGAGGGGCGGGGAGGTGCAGAGCAATGTCAACTTAATTTAAAATGAGACTGTAATACAATGCTGAGATCAAAGTGTGAGAACTAATCGGATGGCACTCCCAGCTTTCTGCAACCACGGTTCAGTTTGATTGATGCAAGAGAGTTGGAGCGAATGTAAGAGAAAGAAGCTGAGCGGGAGCTCTTGGGCCTTTGGCATGCACATGCACATGTGCACACATGGACACACACACACACACACACACAGCCCCCAAGCTCAGGGTTTCTGAGAGCAAGGGCAACTGAGCTCCAGATTGAGCCTCTTAGCCCACTGTGAGAGGGTCTGCTGAGATAAAGCCACCATTCAGCCGTGCTGTCTGGACTCCTGTGGCCGGTGATTGGTAAAAGAGGAAGTAGTCAAGAGGAAAATAAAAACCACAAGAAAAAAATCTTTAAATGCTTATTTATAATACTCAGTGGCCTATTTAAGATGAATTCCATTTATGGTAATGAGCCTTTAAATGAAGCCATTTAAAATCGTTACATAGGCTCTGCCTGGCATTAACCACAATACTTAAGATTTCCATGAGGACAGGACCTGGGCTTTGCAACATCATTTACTCCTGTGGTTTTCTGGTTGGGTTCTAAGAATCTCAGGGATCCCTGGAGACTTTTCTGGGAGTTTCTTTGGGGAAAATGTGGTCATGGCAGATTCGTTTAATTTGTATCTGCTTGATCGCCTCCAAGTATCCCTCCAACACCAAAACAGGATTTGCCGCTACTGGATACGGAATGTAATGTGAAAGAGATCCACAATGTTTAAACCCCAACTAATCCAAGATGTTTCCTTGCATTTCGAGTACATAAAAACTAAAGAATATTTCTACAAAGGAGGTATGACTGAATCTTCAGAAGGACAAAGAAACAAAGGGATCTTCAATTATAAATATAGCGATGTTCGAATGACCACGCAGTGCTGGCAGACAGCTGGCTTCTTCCTCTAGCTCACTGTATAAACTCCTTTTGCAGTGATTGTTATTACATGTATTTGTTTAGGCTTGTACCTCTCTTACTGGATAGCAGAACCCTAGAACACAGAACGCAGTTCTCCTTATAGCACCATGGCCTACTGCCATATTAGTTTGATTTGTAACAGGCATAACATTAACATTTGTTGAATGAATTGATTAAGCATGCTGCAGGGAGACTATTGAGGCATAGGAATTTGGAATCAGAATTCTAATTTTTAACATTAGATTTAATGTTAATTTTCTACAGTGATGCTTAAAATTTTTACGGAGTATCTTCCTCTATTTCATATATTTTCTTTAAGTTACACGTGTCTATTTTTGTGTTAGATATCTAGTGCTTCAATTGCCTGAACTCAGTTTATTCCAAATAATTGCCAATTGCCAAGACTTTCACCATGTAACTCTCATTACTACGTATTAACCTGTCACTCCACTAGGGGCATCTTCTAATCTGCACAGTTTCCTTATGAACGGGGTGGACCCTACGACTTAGGCAACATACAGTTTAAGCAAAAGCTAAACAAATGCTATGCAAAGGCCGTGTCCATCTGGGCCCACCTCTGTCACATGGAGCCTCTGCTTCAGGGTTCTTTGGGCCTCTCTTACCCATAGGAATGTCAACAGTTTACACTTGCTTTTTGGAGATAATGCAAAAATTGAACAAACCTAGAAATGCTGGCTATTAGTCATCAATGCGTTTCAATATTTTCCTATTGCTTTATAGCAAAGGAAATTGGGGCATAAGGATAAATACTGAATGCAGTAGCAGACCTAGAAGAAAATCTTACAAGAATGGGTGGGTAGGGAGAAGAACTACCTCTCCCCCAAAGTTCACTAAGCAGCAGCGGGCACTGTGGTTGGTGGATAAAAACTGGAGTGTTGTGCCCATTGTTGTTTCCTCCTTGAACGGATTTGCTTTCCTGGATATAACAGGGACCAAACAGATGCCTCCATCTTTTTCTCTTTTTCCTTCTATTAGAAAGTAAATCATTTATGTAAAAACAACATTTAAGCTCATCATAAATGATATATACTGTACTGATATGTTACATTTTTTTTTTTATCACGTCTTCATGACAGAAAAAAAGAACAAGTAATCAAAACTTGAGAAATCATTTTTCGAGAATTTTGATATAAAAATAGATCTGTGGCATCACTCATTTAAAAAAATACTTAATTAACCTTTCTCTTGAAATTTTTTCCCCAAATGCCATGCAAAATCATTACTTACAGCTCAGACAAGTCAAGGTGACGGAAATGTTTCCTAGACAAACTCGTCAGTTTATTTCGGGTAAAATTGCTGAAAAAAATCAAAAACATTAAATGTGAATCTAAAATGTTACATTTTAGGAGTAAAGTATTCAAATAGAAATTTTTAAAAATATGTACACATAATTTTATTTGATCATGATCCATGACTTGTTTAGACTCTCTTTCTTTAACTGAGAGTGATAGCTTAGTTTTTCCTGCCTCCTATAATTCTTGTTTATGGGAGTGGGGGGGACAAAGTATAATTTTCATATTGTCTATTTTAATCTTTTTTACTGAAAAGTTTATTTTTTCATATGTTGATTCAGAGTCAAGTTATATACCTCCTAGAGATTCTGACCTTTTGAACAATTAGTAAGAAGATTAAATGTAATTTAATTTAAAACCATAAACTCACCAGGGAGAAAAGATATTTTAAAACAAAAGAGCATCGTGAATATTTTGAATTCATGCAACATACAATATTTTACATATTAACTGTATTTAACACATCTTTACAGGAAAGAACACACCTATTGATTGATAAACTCTGCTGAGATTGTTTATATATGATTTCTAAATAACCAGATAATCCATGATGAGAACAGTTAACAACAACAACAAAAATCAGATAACAAGGAATGTGTCTGATTTTATCCTGACGTATTCTAACAACATGTCATTTTAAGATTTGAACCAACCAGTGAAAAGATATCATATTCGTAACTGAAAAAGTAATACTGAATTTACTGGCACGTTCCAAATACATAGCTTTATTTAATGGACAGGAGTTTCGGTTTCCAACGATCAATGACACAAGACCTTGAGCTGGGAACTTCTGAGCCATAATCCTGGCAGCTGACTCTCTCTGTGAATTTGTTTACTAGATGAATTTGTTTGAAACATATTCAATGATTGGGCTTCTAGACATGTTTAATAAGGAACATGAATATAAAACAAATGTCAACTTTTACAAAAACAGCCAAGCCTTCAACAAATTGCAATGAACCTTTTAGTATTTATTTCCTCCTCAAGAAAGTGAATGTTGGACTGAGAGCCAGATAAGAATGGAAGACCTGAGGGTGACAGTAATCCTGGACCCTTTCCTGAGGCTAGTCCATTGTGTCAGCCCAACAAAACCACCGTTGAAGTATCCTAGTATGTCTAACCAGTCACTTTCAGAGAGAGTTTTAAACCCTGGAGCTGATGTACGAGCTAAGGCTAGTTAGTTGATGAATAAACAAATAATTTATTCATAATTCAAGAGTGCCTGTGTCCACTCCCTGCTTTATTCTAAATTAGCATTCCCATACACCCAAACCCCTACCTACTAGCAGGTGCCCTCTTCCTTCTACATTTGCACCTCCTCTTTTCACACTGAGTGTAAAGTGCTCACCCACATGAAAAAATACTCCACCAGGAAGTTAAAAAATGTGCCCACATAAATCTTTTCTTTTGGAATGTGAATTAAGCATAGCTCTCGTTAGACTATAATACATTATGAAGTCAATCTGCCCGTCTTCACAATCTTGGAGACACGAATGTTTCCATCTTCATCTGAAATTGCCATCCTTGGGGGGAGGGGAGAACCTGCTCTTCCCCCAAGAAGAACAAGGAGAGAGGAGGCAAAGAAAGAGGACACTTATTGTCAAGGTTCTCCGGTCAGCTAGCGAGCCGGCACCAGGAGCAGCTGCCCCTGTCCAGCTGCCAGCAGCACAGCCCAGAGCGGGGTTACGCGCCAAAGAACAAGATGAGTTTTATGAACCATACTTATTATTGGGGCCAAAAGCCAAAAAGAAGGAGGAAGGGAGGGTAAAAAAATCAACAATCCTCTTACTGTTTGATTATAGGACTTTGCAAAGGAGCTAATTAGCACCTCTGCAAAGCCCCTGGAAAATACAAATGCTGGTTTTTCTCACAGTCTCTGGGTTCTCAGAGGTTAGGCAGGAATTAAGGCATCAAGAAATAAACTCAGTGACCAGTCACAGAGACTCTGGAGAGTCACTATGCAATGCTAAATATGCACAGGGTAGAGGGAGGAGTGGTAAAAGTGAAAGACAAGAGCTAATTTGAATTTATTTAAAACCCCAAATGATCACTTCTTGGACTTTTGCCTAAGATCAAGTGTAAAACCCCACATGAAGTAGACTGCTCTTATGCACATTTTTATATTGTTGGAGAAACTCACAGAGATAATCAGTATATCCCAGAGGTAGAGAGAAACGGCTTCTGATATACATTTCTTCCCCAGCTCACTGACATCCACTGTGTTGGCAGTCAAGGTAAGAGCACAATTTATGTGTGAGAAATCAGGGGAGAGGAAGCCAGTTGCCCCAAATCCTCAGTCATAAGCAGAAATTGGGACCAAGTTCTACAAAGGCCAACACTTGATTTGATTCCCTCCACCTTCCCTGTCATTCACAAAAGCCAATGACTTAATTTAATTTCATATTTTGGTGATTAAGAGCTTCTTTCATTACATGAATGAATATATGAAGTTTATTGACATTTCGTGACTTCTTCGTAACGATCTGAATACTTGCCTGACTTTATTCTGCCTTGCTACATAAACATGCCTACCAAAGTCAATAAGAGTTTTTGCAGTTTGTCCAAAGATTGGGCTTCCATACTACTGGCTTTTAAACAAACTATATAGGATATGTCCATCTCTTTGGTTTCCTATTTTCAAGTGGCACCTCTTTAAAAGACAAGGAAAGATAGCTGGCTTTATATAAGTTACATACAACACATTGAATACCATTAAAATTATTCTGCCATATATCACCCTGAAAAAAAAACACAAAGTGGCTTTGGTTTTCATATAAATATCATGCAACAAGGAAAGTGGGGGAAAAGTAAGAGATTTGATAAAGAAATAAATAAGTCTATTACTAAAACCGCTATTAATTGTAGCCCATTATACAAAAATCACAACATTAGGGGAAGTGATACGATAAGCCAGTGATGGGAGGTGGAGGGGACGGTTGTTGAGTAATTTGGGTCTAAAGTCAGCAATAACAAAAATACCAGAACTTAATCACCAATGTTATTAATTATATTTAAGTGACTGCATTAAAGTATTTTGCCTTTTTCTTCTATCCAGCTTCTCTGCTGTTTGTGCTATCAAGGCCTACGCAGGCATCAGATCTGTGCAGGCAAACCAACCACAGGGATGATGCCAAAAAGCATTTAAATGAAATGTGCTAATAAAGCTCCTTGGAGTTTTATCACATTTTTGCCAAATGTTTTTAACCTTAATTCTACAGACCTTATTTTTAAATTGACTTCATCATTAACACCATCTATAAAGTACGAAGTCACTATCTTGGCTTTATGCAATTAAGGTTCTTCATAATATCAACACATCTCCGTAGAGAATCCAGGCAATCTGCTCTAAGAGAATGATTTCTGCTATAACTGGCATGAAAATCAGATGGGGAACTGTTCTCCCCAAGAAAAGAAAGGAGACAAATATTACAAGAAGAGCTGATTCTAGAATTTTAAGGATGGCACAAATTTTACTTCCTGTACTCATGGTGTGGAGTGAGCCCTGAAGTCATAATTCCATCACTTTCAATCTGTGGATCTGAGCAAGTCCTACAACTTCCTCAGCCTGACTTTACATCCATGAAATGGGAGTAAAAAAGGTCATCCCTATCAACTGTTAGAAAAATCAAGTGAGATAATGCAGGTGGGAGTCCCAAAAGTAAACCGAAGACTATGAGATACAGAAGGTCTTGTTGCAGAGAATTTGCAAAGCACAAAAGGGTCAATGAATGCAGGCAACATGCCTCAGCAGACGGTCCCACTGAAAACTCGGTGCATGGAGACACCAATCTGCACTTAGGAGTGAGTGATCCTCCATTTAATGAAGAAACCCCTCAGGAAGGCTCCACCTTACTGATAAAAGTGCCATCATCTAACGGGATTTAGGAGCAAGCAACCCAAGAGCTTCCACTGTCCCTATTTTCTTTTGACTTCCATTGACAAAGCCTCAACAGGACTTCGGGGGAAGCATCCGCTATTGTTAATAATTGTCTGAACCTTTGGCATGTCCCATGGTTTATTTTTCTCCACTTTTATCAATCATGACTGATAGCTTTGGAAACACGAAGGTTCAAAAGAGATTCTATTATATAGGAGAAAATATTAGTAATTTTTAGCTCCCCAAAAAGGCCATGGCCAAGTCAGTTTCTTTCAGTTACACCGCTTTGATGTCTTCCAGGGAATGCCATGATTCCAAGGAAAAGGATCAAGGACACTGTACTGGGACATAGTTTTCACATCAGACTCCTTCCTGTTGGCCTATTACTCTGTCCAAGATGGAAATGACCCAAAAATTCATAAAAGGGAACAAACAGGCTGTTCTAATACCCCTCTGAAGCTATTCAGAAATCAAAGCTAATGTTTCTAAGCTATTGTCATAGCTATACTAACTTTTAAAAAGAGAATTTAGAGTTGGAAAAGAAGGAAAATAAACAGAGGAGAGAAATATTGAATAAATTGGGTCCTGGGAAGCAAAAGAATCAACCTTTACTTACATGTGCTGTAAATTGCTGTTTTTCAGAAATGCTTTATGTGCCACAAATTTTAATCCAGAATCCACAATTGTCCTGGGAAAACATATAATTGTATGCGTGTTAGAACTAACCAATGAATGCCCACATAACTGTAATAGAGAATAAGAAAAAGTTCTGAGATAAAGTACACAAGTCCTGAGTACTCACAGATTTTTCAGTCCCGTGTAAGCTTCAACATCATCTTCATTGATGATTTCTAACCTTTTCTGATTTGCAATGTAACTGCAAAAAAAAGCAGAGAATGATAGCAGTAAATAAATGTAGGCAGTAAATAAAAGAATGGGTAAGTTCCATCCAGCTTCACCAGGGTGTCACGGTGATCCTTTCCTACCCAATCTTACCCCACCAAAAAATAAAATAAAAATAAAAATACAGCTAGGGGAGCCAAACTGAGTGTGATTGAGAAAAGGAAGGAAGGAAGGAAGGAAGGAAGGAA